CTGCTGAAAAAGAGTGAAGGTAGATGTTTGTTCGTAAACTGACCTTGCACAGATTCCACTGTATCTTTCTTCTCTTGCACCAAACTCTCAGTATTGCTCTGAATGATCTTTCTTAGAGTTACTAGCCATTCTTCCATCTCCTGCTCAGTTTCAGCTGCGAGATAGTGGCTGTACTTGTCTATTGTCTTCAGTTCAAATGCATAACGGCGCATCTTAGGACACTGAACAAACAAATAAGACAAAGATTTGTATTATAGTTTCCTCAGTGACTCAGCACAGTATCTGCCATAAGGCTCCTCTCTGTGAAAGCATCCTGAACTGAAATACCATGAAATACAATGCGAGCACCCTCCCTGACATGGCACTTCAGCAGTAATCACAGAGCTCTTCGCAGCTGCAGCCAGTGTACTCTTGTACACAGGTCCATGGCTGTCAGCTACTCTGAAAGTGGAAGAAAGCCAGATTGAACCACAGACATTGCACTTAGAAGGAGGAGCAAGCTCCTTCTTATGTCGTCAGACCTCTCCTATTTACCCAGAGAAGCCAGGAACTGCATTTACCTGACACAGTAAGTAATGTTGCACTCCAGGACACTTGGAAGAATCTATTTTAAAAACAATTGGTTCAATGCAACATTTCTGAGTTCTGCTGCCCTTTAAACAGCATTTTCCAAAAAGAAGCCAAGGCAAATGTAACACAACTTGGGAAGTACAGCCTGTACGTCACTGAGGTGTGTGCACTACTTCTTTTTCTCTTTTAAGGTAGATAAACAGAAATGCACAGCTCTGACACATCATGCTGAAGCAAACCACCAGCATAACTACCCTGTACCAGCTCCACCACATTCAGGGCTTGAAGATTCTGCAGAGATAGCAATGGCAGAAAGCAACAGCAGCAATCCACTGCTGCACTTCACTCTCAGCATAACAAAGCATACCCAGATTTAAGCCCTGTAGAAATACCCGCTCCTAAAACCTTACAAGCCTTTTGCAGGTCATAAGTCCCAAAAGGACTGCATATTTGTATGGACTTACTGAGGTGTAACTTAAGAAACAAGCTGGTGTGAGCAGCAAACAGAGGAAGAAGGTGCCCAAGACTCAGTCACACCAATTATTTACTAGCTTCAACCCTCAGGATGTCTTGGAAGGCACCTGACCTATGATAACCAGATAACAGAGATGGACAGAGCAGGGAGACAGCAGATGAGGTAATGATGAAACCCTTCCATTTTACTCTGACAGCAGTTCTTCCATTTACTGTCTTCTTGGCCAAAACTACTGCAGCCTTAGGAAATGCCTTGCCTGCCTTTTAATCAGATTAGCTGACAGAGCAAACCAGCTCTGAGCTACTTTGTACATCCACGCCTTCACCTTGATGGCACAGACCTTGAGAGAGCACGTCTGTCTCAGAGCTAGCAATGCATAAGCCCACGTACAGCCATGCAGAAAGCACACCTACCTGAACAACATCGTTGCAAGCATCCAAGAAAATACAGCCTTTGGATTCTTTTGAAATTTTCTCATCTTTGTAGGAATTAAGAATATAGGAGCCATCTGTGAGTTGTGACAAATAAAAATACCTCCTCTTGAATACCTGCAAAAGTAAAACGTCTTGCTCATCCAGGTATTCACTGTTATACATTACAAACCACAGCCACAGTATCTGCCCTCCTGCTTTTGAGAAAAGAGTGTAACAAAAATCACTGATGACATTAGAGTGTTGCAGATTCACCCCTTTGAGTATGACTCGTTTTTATAAAGAGAGAATTCATCATCTTCTTTGGTGTTCATGTCTTTGTTGTTATTGTAAGTTTACCCATCTAAAGCAAAGCCCCAGGGCTTCCAGCTCCCCTCTCAGCTGGCTCCAGCCTCATTTGTGTTTACAAAGTAATGCTGCACAGTAAATTCAGATCAGCACATTGCATGAATATTCAAACCAGCCTAGAGCAGGTGTTTCCAGAGCCTCTTTGATAAAGACCTCAATTAGAATTACAACGCAATTCTCTGGAAGACTCTGGAACAGACATGTGGAAATTCCTAGCACTCAAATGCAAGTCAAGGTATACTTGTAATCCACTAAACTGCTTGGAGTTTTTGTGCGTTTATTGATTTTTTTTTTTTTTTTCATAAAAACCTGTTTCAATGAACTGGCTTTGGCTTAGCGTTCAGTTCTCACCTTACTAAGCAGTAAGTTTGTAAGCAGTAAGTGTTCCTACGTTTGAGCTACTGATTTTTATGAAAAAAAAAAAAAAGCACAAACCAAACACAAACCAAACCACTCCAGTATCTCAGAGTATCTTCCTTTGTATTTGTAAGCCAAAAGGCACTGGACTTATAACGTTCAAGGAAAACATTTTGGCAGCAATTACGGTAGTACCATATGCTGTCAGGTCTGTAAGGAGCAGGGCATGTTTCACAGCTGCTGGATATCTGTGTTCATAGAATCATAGAATCCTT